GCCATGCTTTCTTAAACATACATTGTTAAATATAGGAACAAAAACGGAAATTGACTGCATTGTATTAGAACTAGGCTTGAATGTGTCTACAAATAGCTGCATTAGTAGCTTGGTATTTGATTAGATCACAATGGATGGATTTAAATATATATATAAACTGGATATGGGTTGGACATGTTTATCTTGCAAATTGCCTCGACAAAACATTAGTTGTCAGTTGCCAGCATTTGAATGAACCTTCATTAAATTAGCAAGCAATGATAGTTTTGGTTGACTACAAATTAGCAAATAAAACTAAAACACATTGGTTGCACAAAACACTCAATAATAGGGGAGGTATTGCATTAAACAAGGTCATTCTAAAAGTCACATTAAGCAGATCTAAAATTAAGAAAAGGGATAAACGCAAGTCATAAATGAAGTACTGACATACTAGCAATAGTATTCACAGCTCATATGAACATCTATTCAGAGTAAATTCACCCTTAGTTTACACATAATTTAACATTTGACTGAAGCCTGCAAGAAGAAGTAAACAATAATTCCTATTCTCCATATTATTTGATTAGCTGGATTCAGGTGACTGCTGTTGAAGACTTTTGTTAATTCCTGTTGTGAAAATCCATTTTGCTCGAGCATCATGGATGAAAAAGCAAATAACGGATTGAAAGAGGAGAGAAGGATGGCATCAAGTAAGACTGGTTTCCAGTCAATTAGCAGCCGCTGTCTGTTCACTCAGCCTGCACAATGAGCTTTGCCAATGCCACAAATTAAACGCATCCCAATTTTACTGTCTCCAAATCAAGCAAATCAAATGTGAAATGCTGATGACAAGACTTTAAAATAATAACAAAACAATCTATCTTTTTTCTGTGATTTTAAAGTGTAATTTTTTCAAACGGCAGTAAATCATAAAAACCAACAAAAATATGTTCAAACTAGTGGTAAACTTGGAACATGAGAATTGTTCTTACCTTGTGATCTGCTGGATGTGGTGATTACCTCGATGTCTCCTAATCAAAACAGATTTGTGGATCTAGTTATGTATTAATAATCTACTGCTGGGCTTTCCTTCCACCAGTGTGTGTGAAGCAGGCAGGGTTTGATGTATTTGTGTCCACACCCAGGTTTAACCACACCTGCAATTTCCTGTCATGATATTTACATTGTGACAACGTTAAATGCACCTACTCTCACCACCTCCTACACGCAAGAGATGACAATAAAGGGGACATTGTGACCTGATGTTTGCCATTTTGTGGCTTGATGATTATGATTTATAGTTCGCTAAAGGAAGAAAGCTCACAAAACTGTTCCTCAACTGAGTTGGATTCAAACTCCTGCTTTTGCTTTAAGAAGGTTTTATGAGTTGAGTTAATGTTCAACAGCAGCTCTCAGCAACACGGGGGAAATTACAAGGGCCATGAAGCTTATTATTGCACAAGTGTTACACCTCCAAGGCAGTGAAATCAGACTGAAGGAGCTATTAAAGGCATAATCAGGGAATTAGAGATTCTCTGACTCACTTGAGAAGTAATTTCAGATTTCTTGAAAAATGTGTAAAGCAATGGTGGATTTTGATATGTACAATATGGTTTCCACCGAGGGTGCAATACTATCAGGGGGGTAACTCAAAGCTTTGTCAGGCCATCCAAAATTAAGTCTTCGACTTTGATTAGTAGGTCTAGTAAATGTTGAGTCCGCATCTTCTCTCCCTTATATGCATAGTGTAAGCTCTGTAAGATGACAGGCTTGGGGAGCTTTTTAAGAGAATTTGTGAACCCTGAGAAGATGCTGGCTGAATCTGGTTATAGAGCTTCATTATCAACAGAAAAATGAGTCTTGTGCTGCCAAGGACTGAAAGGCCACTCAGAGAGGAAAAAGTAAGTTTTCCAAAACTGAACAAAAAAAGCAATCACAGTTTGCAAATAAACTTAGGGACGAAGACTATGGCTTTTTGGAGATCTGCCTTGTTGTCCAATTAAATAAAATATAAATGCTTAAACAACAACCATTGTTATATTAGAAGAAAAATTTTGCCTAAAAACAAAACCCCAACTATGAAGCATGGAGGTGACAACATTGTATTGTGGGGGAGTTTGATATGGGACGAACTGGTGCACTAAACAGAATTGATGTGATTATGAGGAAAGAACATAATGCCTGTCAATCATGATCGACGACAATATCAGTCTTAATGTGTTGGAACTTTCTATAGTGTGGCAGAACAGGGTTTTTTGTTGTAGCTTGTCAAAGCTTGCAGTAGTTCAAAAGCTTAGCAATTGTATTATCAAAGAGGAGTTAAAAGTGTTATGTTCACTGATAATTTTGTTTCGTTGCATCAAGAATTGTAAGTTGAATGATAATAAAAGGACGCCACATCTTTGAACTGGTGCCTGACGCAGTTTTTTCTGATATAAATCACCATGCCTTTTAGTTCAAGTCCAAACTGAGCTAGACCATAAAAAGTTTAGTCTAGTTTACATCAAAAAGCTTAAAGGTTATATGCATGTGTATACCATTGTTATAAACATTAAAATGTCTACTTTGTCTACATTTGGTGCAGATGGAGAAGCAAGCCCTGAATGGCAGATGTGCAGAAACCACCAGTGTGTTCTAGGAGGGACAGTCATGCAAATTGGTGTTTATGTTCATATGCAAAGCATGAGGCTTATTCACACTCTGCATCCAAACTTATTTGCAAATCTTTGAGATAACAGAGTGAAACACTTTGCAAAGAGCAAATGTTAGTCCTTTGCCAAACAATAACATTAAAGTGTTGTTACAGAAGCTTAATAATTCATCTTAAACTTCAAGAAATGTCTGCTGTTACGTAGAGTTTATTTAACTTTGCAAAGGCAAGCCACTTCACATGTGAAAAACAAAAGCTCTTTAATTCCACTGATGGATCAGCTTTGCCTATTTTCAAAGTATGTGAACAATCTGTCAGGTTCTTTTACTTTTATACAGCTATCAAAGATGAATCATAGATTAGACTACCTTATGCTTTCTCGTAGATATGCATCTTCTGCATTTATTTTTTTATTGAAATAGGATTGTAGTGATAATGCAGTCCCTCACAGGGAATCTGAAGAGTTCATTGTTACATAACTAATCTATTATCAACTTGAACTCAATAAAGTTGCACTCACCTTCAGTGATGGCACCTCATTTCTTCATTCAGTCTTGAACTCCATTCAAAATCTAACATCAGTTGCACTTCATGAACTTTGGCCCTTTCATATCTGAAGGGAAAAGTTGAAGGTTAGAAGGAAACACCGACAGCAGGAATGCTCCGGGCTTGAACAATAAGCCGTATAATGCCTAATCCACCAGTGCAACTCAGCAACGTAAGCAGAAGGCAAAGGTCCACTTTTTGACTTGGTTGCACATTAACTAGTTTATAATGGTGCAATTAATGCACCTGCATGCGACTGAACCCTGCAGACAACACAGCTCAGCAGGATCCTGCTGAAAGATAAGTTTATAATTAAAGGGACTTTTAAAACAAGTCATGAAGTAGTGGACGAAGCTATTTGTTGAGAAATTGAGATTATATCAAATTTATACTTCTTCTAATTGGTTTTATATTAATACTACTTATTTATTTATTTTCTTGCTTCTTTTCTCTTTGGCCTCAGCTGAGTTTTATCATAGTTTGATTTTCAATGTAAAAGCATCAAACAAACAAACTTGATCCCTTTGAGTGACCAACACTGATAACTTGATATGAAAAGATACTTAAAAGTCATGGCTTTGCATTCCAGCAGATACAGTGTAAATTTAAGACTAAGTCTAAGTCTCTTTAAGACTAAGTCTAAGTCTCTTTAACATTCTTGTGTCACGATAAAGGCATTATTTGTGTTAAGTTGTGCAATATGTGTGCAATTTGAAAGCAGGTTCTCCAGTAAGGGGCCAGTTTCTGCAACGGACAGTATGCGGTGTCAGCTTACTTACGGGAGAAAGCTAAACTGTGCTGTGCTGTTCATTTTCATTTTCCAGTTTCTGCTCCTCAGCCCACATGTTTATTTAGCTGCTTTGACTCATAAACCAAAATAGAAGACCATTAATGTTAAATACTAGATGACAAATTACTTAGTTTTAGAGCCAAGACAAGATATAAGGCATGTTAGAGGTAGTATTAGCATTGATGTAGAATGGTTAAAGTTTCCATATAATTACCAGCTATCATGTGTTTTATAAGACCTTTGTTCCTGTACCCTTAGGGGTAAAGTCTGGAAAACAAGTATAATCAAAATTGGCATGAATGTTTATTGAAATAGTTGAAGTCTGTGCATGAAGACCAAAAAAAATGTCATTATCATTTAATGATCATTTAAATTAGACTCTAAACTATCATGAAGTCATATTTTGTATCTAATTATTGTCCAAGCAAAAATAAATGCAACTATTAAATATCTGCATTTGTTCAGCTTGGATCATTTTAATATTAATTACTCCCTCATGTGACAAGTTAAATTCTACTCATGGAATAATTTGTAGATGAAGTTCTACATAATAATAGTAAAAAATGTAATTATTTGTCTTGATTATATTGTGAGATTTGTAATGAATGCTGTGTTTTAACATCCATCTTACACAATACACAAAACACTGTAGACTTGAGGCAGCCAATCAAGAGTTAGTCGTTTTTCAACTTCCTTTTCTTGATTGCATGTATTGCTGTATAAATCTTGACCTTAAGAACCCACACTAGACTGAAAAATGTCTTATCACTATTTTCATAGTGACCACTGAGTTATTCATTGATGCCTTGTTTGATGTTCTTTACCTAAAATCATCACTCTTTGCTGGCCAGGAACCTTGTTTGGCTGACTTGTGATGTGTTTCTCCCTCATACTTAAAATATATACTTCAGTCATGAAAATTAATATAGCTACCATGAGTAACACACTGTAACAATCCTGATATATATCATATAACTTCTGTGTCTTTTGAAAAGAAAGTTTTGCCAACGTTTTTACACTTTGACAACAAGCTGACAGTGTGCAAATTTGCAACTTTATTTATGTCATACAGTACAGTTTTAACATCATTTCTTTACAATTCATCCAACACTCTTAGCCTCAATAAACATAGTCCAGTAAAACATAATCTAGGTTGTTGGGTTTTTTTTTTAATTTCTAAGTTTCATCAGAAATGCAACATTTATCAGTTGATAAATGGTCACAAATGTTGATTTTTATCTTTCACAAAATTAGGCAGGCTTTTCGTATGTCCCAGGGACAGGAATCTACCGCCACTGTCAAGGATTAAATGTTGTAATTAAGCCACGGACCACATTGAACTGTAAACGTCTTTGGCGAATTTAACAATTTAATGCTACTGATATCAAACACCCTACAGTAATCCAGGCTAGCTTTATAAATGCCAGGCATTTTTCTTTTTACAAAGGGTCATTTTCAGCTTCTGTTTTAGGATTTACAAATAACATTGTCTCTGGAGACCCCGACCCCGTGACCCGAAACAAGATAAGCACAGTAATGAAGGCACTTCATTCTGTAGGAGAAGGTAAATCACAGTTGTTGGAACAAAAAAGAAAACAACACAAAAGAAAACAAAGCTCACACAGTCTTGAAAAAAAAAAATGTGATCTGTGAATTTGATTGTTTTTAGTAACTAAAATATTACCTGACAGAATCTTGATAGAATAGTAAAACTGTCTCTCTCTGATAGAAAAATTATTTTTTGTATATCTTACTCATAGAAACATTTACTATATACATACAGTAATATAATCTTTTGTCAGTAGGAGTCCTGTAGAAAGAGTCCAGGAATCAACAGATGGCGAGAATCCACAGAGTCCGTTTCTCCAGATTAAAACCAGTTCGTTTTAAATGCTCAAACCGGCCACCCTTTTGATTGGAGAACGGGAGCCGGGCTGCAGGACCGTGGCAGAGAGGGGCTGCTGTCTTTTCTGCTACCTGTTCCTCAAGGTCTGTAAGGGGCTGTAAACGTCCTCCTCTTTACTGAGACCCTCAAAAAGAGGGATCAGATCCAACAGCTCTGTGTCTGCCATGTCGTCAAACCAGGACTGCACCGGGACCTGAGGACAGAAAAGAGAGTAGCTTTGATTCAAAAGTGAGCGAAGGGAAAAAAAAGCTGAGAACAGCTTCTAACGTCTTTGCATTATGCGTGAGGAGCTGGTGTGATTTTGGTGTAAATAATTAATAGGGAGAAATACATCAAAGGCTGGAAAAGTTGCAGAAAGTTCTCCATGGAGGAGAAAAAACTTAAATTTGACAAACAGGCTGAACACGAGCACTGGCTCTCTTACATTCTCACTTGTAGCATTTTAACTAAATAAGAAAATAATTTCTATTTGAGCTCTAGTATTTTGAGCTATTTTTTAAATCAGAAGTTTTTCAAAAGAAAATACTCTCAAGTTTGACAGATGTTTAAATCCATCCTGAGGCCTTTCTGTGCATCTGCATGTGTGGCATTTCTCAGGTTACTCCTGTTTTCTTCCACAGTGCAAAAACATGCATGTTTAACGGATTTCAAATCACATTGCCATTAGGGATCCTACATTGTACTTAGTTGCAATGTGTCTGTTTCGGCCCTCTAATGCATCGAAGATATGCTCAAGAGCCCCAGAAAGAAAGTCCACCCGCAACCCTGAATAGAGTTAATATTGAATGAAAAGTGGACAGATGGATGGAAACTCTTCCTTTAGACCACGATAATGTACTGAACTATTGAAACTTGACCGCAAGCATGTTGGACTGTCGGAAAAATAATGACTCACTGCATTTTCAGGATGGAAGATGTACGAGGCAGGCGAGTTGTCTACAATGATGACTTTTCGGAGCTCTCGGCCGAGCCGACTGAGGTCTTTGACGTAATTTCCTCTGTGGAAAACACATGATTCCCTGAAGAGCCGAGTGCGAAACACCCCCCACTGGTCCAGCAGGTCTGCCACGGGGTCAGCATACTAGCCAGACCCAAAAGGAGAGAGATTATTGACGTGGCAATGGAAAGTATTACTGTGCCTAATGTGGAGGTCTCGCATGAGCCGACCTTGGCTAAACTGGCGGTGAAGAGGACACATTCAAACAATTCTCCCATCTTCTGGAGGAATTCGTCCACATGAGGCCTCTTCAAAACGTACACCTAAATGTGATGGTTAAAAGAAAATTCATCATTAGCAAGAAAACAGTTAAGATATCTAATTACTCCGAATCAAACTTATTTTCCCATAACAAAGATAATATACTGGTTCTCAATCTGCCAGGAATGATATGTTTTCATACAATCATGACTGAGAATCATTGTGCAAAGGTTGTGAATAACACCTCTAATGGCGTCCTCCAATCAACCCATTTGAACCAAATGCATTGAAGCAAACATTTGTTCAATCAATTCACAAAGAAAACTGAAGCAGCCTGTGTTTGTTGTTCTTTTTGTTTGCGTCTAACATGCAATGTTTCACCACTGGCATTTGCACTAACAGCATTATACTATACTGTTTTATTTGAAAGACTGTTATACTCCCAAACAAAAATCATATAAAATTAAGAACTCAAAGTCACTTTAAACTATTTAATAAAATTCTAGTCATTTTTGTAAATTAAAAAAAAACTGTGCTAAAATTATAACAAAACTGGCATTGATTTGGTAAACAAACTTTTCAAATAAGAAAGCACAGTTTTTAAGGATAAAGTGAGACACATATTTCAAATTGTGATCCTTTTGTTATCACAGCATTCCCTCTGGCAAATCAGCAGTGCATTGCATGACATTTTACATTTATACAGCGTAAAAAATACATGCCTATAGCCCATATTTATCCATTCTGCTGTTCTCCTCAGGAAGCCTTTTGGAGGGTTAGTTGCTGCTGCCAAGTGCAAGTAATCAAGGATGGGCTGAAGTAGATGCACAAAGCCTATCCTGGATTACTTGAACGAGGTTGAAGCTTCAGTCCTGAATCTTGTTCTTCTTGCTGACGTCAATGGATGGTGCAAAAGGAGTCTCTACGTTTTCTTCTCCCGATTGCTTTTATAGTGTGAAAAAAATCCTGCATTTTCAATATTGTCTTCAACAGGTTTGGGGACATTTGGGGTTCAAAAAGTCAAGTCAGAATCCACTTTCCAGTACAGTGTGCAAAGAAAGAAAAACAACAATCAAGCAAAAACTACTAAGATGTTTTGGTATGGTTGGTGGTTTACTTTGATGCACGGAGAATAATGAATAGAATAGAAAACAGAGAATAATAAATATAGAGTCGAATGAAACCAGTTTCCTAAGGGAACCCTCACAAACTAAAAAAGGCAGTATAAAATTATTATGTTTATGTCTACGTATAGAGGTCCTCCACATCACAGCGGCATTACCTGATGAACAGTGCCATCAATCTCCACCGGGACGATAAAGTCTGCATTACTGATGGGCTGCGGGAACACATAAAAACGAGAGGATTCAAAACTTGTCCCTTGTTTTGCTCATTTTAGCACAAGAAAAGACACCCAGCTGCACACCCACATCTTGTTTTATGGTAGAGAAGAAGTAAAATAGCCCAGCAATATGCCTCAGGCAAGTGATGACTCCAGTCATCATGTGGCTCCCTTTGCTCCAGCACTCTGTGAGTGTTAAATAAAACCCAGTACTCCGGAGAGGAACTTGGGAGCTGAGGAAAGATGACAGATATGAAGGCGAACAGAAGAGCTGCTGTTTTCTCTGTGTGACTTGTGTCATTTTGAAAAGCTGGAGAAGGAAGAGGAGAAGGTGCAGGAGGCAGAGGAAGACAGATACCAGAGGGGGCGTGGGTAGAAGACGAGCGGAGGACGAAAAGACAAGGATGAAAGGATTAGGTAGGAGGCACAGTCATTTTGGTAAGAAGAAAAAAAAGAACTAGGTGACAGGTAAAAAATACATTTCTGCATGTTCTCAGGGGAGAAGAGCTGCAGCTATCACCTGTTTGGTTAAACACTTAATAAGAAGTTGTATTGTAGGGATAAAATGCTAAAGCCTCATACTAGGGAACAACTGAATACGCCTAAGTAACTAATCTGAATTACAAATTTGTTGCTTTAGCATGAGCTAACTTGCCAGCATATTTATAGCAGCCAGCTTTGATTGAATATGGTGAAACATGCCACAATATTTAGTTAAAATAGCTTAGACATTCAACTGAAACGACTAACGATGGCCATCTCAATGTTATTGGAAGATAGCCAAAATTTTTCACACACATGATTCTGTCAGAAATTTCCCACAAATATTCTAAACATTAATTTTTGCAGCATTATCTCTTTCATTAATTGCTCAGCACCAGGACAGATTCATGCTTTCTTCACTTGGTAGGCAGTGAACATAAAGTGTCATGTGAGCTGCTGGCATTATGAAAGAAACAAGAGTACTCCCATGATGTTTCACCCTATTTGGACCTCGGCAAAGGGAAAAATAAAACAGAAAGAGTAGAAAGAAGATGTTGAGAAAAGAAGTTTGTTTACAATGCTTCTGGTAAGAGTGCTACACAAGCACTGCAAAGCCTCAGGAAGCCAGGAATAATTACTTATTTCCTGTTAATTGCTTGTATATCCATCTGATGTCCATCTCATTCTCAGGTTTTTCAAGTAAAGCATTTTGGTAACTTTTATTGAACACTAAAGAAACTCCAAGGCCTTCATGTATCCGCAGATTTTATAAAGTTCATATCTTTATTGGCTTTCAGGCATAAGAAATGTCAGGTTAGAAGCAACAGTTACATGCCCTCCAGCAGAGGGGGTGTTTGCTTCAGAAATGATAAGCACTCTTTAACTTCTCACCTCATAAATAAAAGCCCTTAGGTATTATCATTGTATAGCGATAAATATCTACTAAAGATAATTGATTTCTTTATATATAATGTCAAATTTAAAAAGTAATTCAAATTGAATACTGTGTTTTTCTTTTATCCTAAATCTGTTATGCAGCTTCAGTAAAATAAACTGTATATAAACAGAGATTCAGACAAGCTGTGAGCACTACTAATCGGCTTTAATATTTACTAAATAGAATTTCTATGACTTCAACCTTTAAAAAGGAAAACAAAGATGGCGTAGGGATCACAAAAACCAACTTCTCTCCGCTTCTTTGGTTATTGCTCTTCTGCTGAATTGCTCCATCATCAGAAGACTGCGCATTCAACAGCTGCTCATCGCCCTGCTTTGTCATGGATAAGAGGCTGGGATGCATGAAAGAGAAGGTTGAAGTGTGCGTAAGACAGAAAGTAGGTCTAGATTAAGTAACGGAGAAAGGCGAGTACTTAAATTACTCAACCTCAAAGAGTTTAGGGTGGAAGGTTTTATGATTTTTGACATATTTCATATCGGGAAATAAATGTTAAGAAGACGAGCTCAAGACCGATTAGGCTGCATCACAGGAAGGGCAAGATCTGACCTTCATCTGTCTGAAATCTTTCCATCAAAGATTTTAAATACACAGATGCACACATTTACATTTATGTAGTGAAAATCAAAATGTAAATCCCAATGAGAATTTGTTTTCGATCAGTGTGTTGATTGAAAACAGCGTGTTGATTGATTGTTTTCAATGAAAAGAGTCAAAACTCTGATTAACCATCCAAAAACATATTAGTCCCTTTAATTTTATTCAGTTAATCACATTGAAATGTAACTTGCAAGTTTGGTTGTATTACCATATAAAATCAATTACTGCATAAAAGCAACCAACTTTTGCCACATTCTAATAAAATAACAGCACATGTTCAAATAAGTAGAATAAATGTCATTTGTCATAATGTAAATAATCCTTTCTGCTGCTTTGACATGTCTAGCACACACTTGATCTAATCCCGGAACAGGCCTGGGAATTATCCCCTCATCCATAACATGCAGGATAAAGCAGAAACTGTGGCGTGTTATGTAATGCTGCTTTTTTAGTCCATGTCCATCTGTGCATCATCTGTATCCCCCGTTGTTTTCTTTTTCCGGCATTCATTGTTCAGTTCCAGAGCTTCAGAAAGAATGCGCATAATATTTTGAATCATTATCACATCTGAACAGGAAACCTGGAGGAAATCCTGCGCAGGCCGAGAACGGAACTGAAAATGCTGCAAATGTGTCGTTTTTATGTTGTCCTGTTTCCTCACAATCAACCGATTTCCATCCACTGCCCTGTCTCCTCTGAGCACATATGGCATACTAATCTCTAAAGCAATCTAATTTTCCATGGGTCCCAGCTCTTGAGAATGTGAGCGTGTGACTTGTTTTGACAAAGACGAAGAAAATTTATTCAGACTCACACTGGATTTCTGGGAAAGCCGTGCCACAGCCATTCAGTGCAACAGTACACTGTACAGGACACACCCTTGTGTCTGAGAGAGCACATGTGTTTGTGGCATATGATCACCATGGGTGTGGACGCATATTATTTATTTTTTTTTACATTTCACAGAAAGTGCGGGAGTCCACACTTTGGAACGAACAAAAACGAGTTAACTTCTTCACTTCTAAGTGAAACTACGACTATTTGGTTGCCTTCAAATCTACTGTCTTTGACTTCAGGGATTTTTTTTTGTTTTTTTTTGTTAAAGGAAATTATAACCAGGTTAATAAGAACAGCCCAGACTGAGGCAGAGCGATGCTGAAATAGGTCACCAGGTTGGCCAGGTGTGTAAAACAGATTCAATGCAGAACGAAAGGAGCTTCAAACTGGATGCTACAAAGCAGGATCATTCTATGAAATGAAATGTATTTATTCTAATGTACAGCCTACACTTGAGAGCTAAAAACATCTGCACACCTGTCTAATGATAAAAGCAACAAAAAGGATTACACGAAGGTTCTCACTGAAGAGGTGTGCCTAAATATTTAACACTTTATATATATTAATCTATATGTCATATTCGACAGCCTGATCCTCTACTCAAGGTCTACAGGGACATTGCACCAGATTTATGATGCACTAAAATCACTTTTCTACTCTGCACACTATCAGTCACTCATATACAGAGGCCAAGAAGTATAAAGAAAACATACAAAGTTGTTGTATCACATATGCTTGCCTTTTATGCAGCAGGTGTTGTGTTGTGATGTGCCTTCAGTGAGTGTGTGAAGCAACAGACAACCTAACAGCAAAACTGAAATGAGCGTTTACGGACCGTCTATAAATTGCTACAATATCAAATAATATTGGGCTTCAAATATAATCTACCACAGCATAAGAGGGCTGTGCGATGTGAAGGGTTTATTTAAAAAAAAAAAAAGAAAGAAAGAAAACCAAGTGATTCAAATATTTAAAAATAATTTTTTTTTATTTATTTTATTTTCAGATGAAAAAAATATTTTAAAAAAGTGCCTGATTCAGAAGTTTGCATTAGAAGTTAGCCTATTTAGGTACTAAATAAATGCAACTGTTAGGTTATAGAAAACCTTTGGATGGCGAGACCCAAAAATAGCTGAAAGATATTTTATTTACAATTAGAAATGAACAAAAAGTAAGTTAAGAAGTCTGTTTATGCAAAATAAATAAATAAATCTGTCAGTGACTTCGTAAAAGTGCATTTTTTTGTACACATGAGAATATTTTGTATTCTTCTTTAAGAATCCTTTAACCAGCTATTGTATTGGCGTAAAGGAAGGAAGGATGGATGGTGTACCTTAAAGGAGCTGTGTACAAGGGTTTCATCCAAGTCGATCACCACACAGTTTTTGCCATAGTCAGCTATACTGACCTCAGGCAGGAGGAACTTGGCTGGAGGCTGCAGAGAAAACACAGACAGGTTACATTGATATGTAAACTATATTTTGTGGGACAAACTGCCACGAGATGTAATAACAGCACAAACATTTTCACAATTAAAATAGGAAAAGATTGTGATTCTTTCAGTAAATAAAAGCCCTAAAACGTGAACATATTTTTAATAAACACAAGAACAGCTTTATTTTTACTTATTTGATTATTAGTAGGAGCTTTAGATTAAAAACACAGTAACAACCTTGATACATGATTACATGTTTTGGCAACAAATCGATCAGAAATGATTTTACAGACTGTGGGGTCTGTGGGTGCCCACTTCTCTCATGTAAACCTTTGTGGCCCCATGGTAGCATAGCGACCGGAGTGGGGGGGATCATATCACTCTGCTCAAGAACGACTCCTGGTGCTGCGTTCAGGGTCAGGGGAAGGGAGAAATGATTGTATCCTTTGCCAAAGCCTGGGGTTACACACAGGCACAAGGCAGATGGTTCAGCCACAGGGGGCACACACTCACATCAGTGCTCTTATTCACACAAACTACACACACCCACACATGCACACACACACAAGACTGTACAGAGGTGAAGATCAAGGACTCTTTCAATCCACAAACACGTTCCCACAAGTGAGCTGCCACTCATTGTGCCAGGCATTTCCTGCATGTCCCTGTGTTTAAGCGTGCTTTTCCACGGCAGACTGTGTTTATCATGTTTTATCACAGGATGAATTGCAGGAAGAATTCCCTCTGAGCAAGGACACTGAATGACACCCAGTATGTCGGTGATTTATTACATTTACTCTTGCCAGCTGAGCTGCTTAAGTTAAGAAAGACCGACTTCACATTTTCACCAGGCAGATGCAATAATCGTTACCACAAGATCAAGTCAGAAGATACAGTGATGACCAAATCATAACATGCTGACTGGATGGAAACACCTGATAACAAATAAGAGCTAAGCAGATCATTTTTTATAAGCATGTAAATGTACAAATGAAACAACAATATGTCTCATAATGCTTTCAAACAGCATTTAAATATGGTTTGTTCTGGTTGCCAGTTTTAAAGCACATGCACAATTAAGAAAATGTTGCTTAGTTTCTATGACTTTATCAACATTGAGTAGCAATAAGTTGTCAGTCAGTATGTTGTGCATGATGGCAAAATAAGAAATATTCCCCTGTCTGTCACTTTTGGAGGTAATCCAGCCTTTCAGACACTGCTGCAGGCTTTGTCCCTGAGTATTTAACACATTTGATTTATTAGCTAACATCATCTTGCCTCCAGCCTCATAATTTTACTTTAAAAAGAGCAGAAAGGCAAAAAAAAAGATATAAAAATATGTACGCTCAGTAAACATACCTATCTGTACTACATTTATTGGAAACTTGACAAAAATTTTAACCTTCAAACTTAAAATATCTAAAGCTGACACTTATACTGCAACAATAGAACCGATACAGAAATTAAAACCATTAATATTATAAATAAACTGTTGTCAGCGATACAGGAAATTTGTGATAAACAAGCCATATCATTTTACCAGCAGTATGTAGTATTTATTTAATAACAGCAGTTTAAATATCCACCTTTACATTTTTTTCATTTTAACACAGAATAAGTGCTAAAACATGTCAGAATATGACACGGTCTCAGATCTAATCCCGTGAGATCTGACAATCACCGTATGACACTCACTGAAATGCTTGTCACATAAATGAATAGGTTAAAATTACTGCTGGCTAGTTATTTTGCATTTTTTGTGGAAGCAAAAATAAATCAGCAAAATGAATTTTAATCACCAGTTATCATTTACTTAAGCAGTACCAGATAGGGTTAGCGACTTATGACACAGACCTGCCCTGTCTACCCAGGCTTGAGTTATATAAGTCACCGCTCAGAATAGTTGACTCTCCTGGCCATACAAAGAGAAGCCCTCAACAACATATGTATTTCCTGCTATTGAAGGGAACCGTCTGCTGCGTGGTGCAATTTAAAGCTTGGCTGCAGACATTGGGATGCTGTGAGTGTGAATATTCGAAATTACAGCAAACCACAGGAATCTAACACATTCCAAAATAGCTAAATGAAATGCAGCATCAGCACCGACTTCCAATACCCAAACTAAACAAGGTGGAGGCATCTAGTTGTGGACTCTCTCTCTTAAAAACACAGAGGAATCGAAAAGTTGACAGTGGCATGTAAGGTAACACCACACATAAACAGCACTTTTTTGGATTTTAGCAGTTACTTTGCCTAAATCTAAAAGACTTTGGAACTTATTGGAAGTTTCATAGAACTTCCAAAATGTGCTATGGATACTTGTTCAGTACTCAAAGGTTACTTTCTGGAATGTATCTCGTACTATCCTGAACTATTTACTAGTCACTCTTCCAGGAAAGGGTTACTCACTTTCCTGAACCTAGAATGTACTTTTATGAAAGTTTAAAGAACTTAGCCACTACATTCGCAGAACCTACCATTTACTGACTGAAAATTTGAGTTTTTTTGTCTTGAAGTTCTACATTGTTCCTGTCGGTTGCAGAAAACCTGTTATGTTTCAGGAAATGTACCAAAATGTTTTGGTACATTTTAAGTACCAAAAAATGTTCCAGAGGAAACTTCATTAATTAAAATTAAAAAAAATTTAAACCTATCAATTAGATCCAGGAAAATGCATTTCAAGCTCCAGTAAAGTAACCAGACAGTTCCAAGAAATGTTCTGGTAAGTACCAAGTAAGACATATTTTGAAGTTACCTCTACATTCTGGTGAAACCCCTGAGAAAGTTCCGCGAAGAGACTTCTTAGTTCATGGGAAACACTTGTACGTTTCAGTAAAGCAACCAGTAAGTTCCATAAAAGTTAACTAGAAGTTAAGATAAATTCCTGAAAGTAATATCTAAGTTTGAGTAAAGTAAACAATAAGAGACATGAAAGTTCTAGGAAAACACCTTGTAAGTTACACAAAGTTTCCAGACATGTTTTGCAAAGTAAGCTCTAAGTTCTGGAAAACAAATAAACTCTTCTGTGAAAGTTCCAGGAAAGTTCATGGTAGATTCCGAAAACTAACACTTCTGAGGAAGTAGAGTCTGCATTATGTAGTGTTGCCTGAAGGGATAATTGGTGAATCTGAAAAATTATTTTTACATTTTAATGATTGGATAGTTAAAAGCACAAAAAGAATTGGGAGGCACATAACCTCATGAACTGCGGAAAATTGAGAATATTTCATCGAGCGGGAATGAATAATCACCTTTATGTCAGCAGCTGCATGAAACCCGAATGACGAAGCACCTCAAGCATAGGGAGAAGGTTAGTGTGATGAAGCGTAATGGAGAAAAAATGAAATACAATCATATGTACACTGAGTATTGGGATGACCCGGACCTCGTCATACTGGAGAATATAAGTGGAGAAAGAAAAAAAAAAACAGACACTGAGCGAGACGGCGTGGAAAAAACATAAAAAAGAAGAATATGGAAGGAAATGAAAAACAGCCGACAGTCGAAGAGTACAGCAATACATTAAGCAGCAAATGGAAAAGTTGGGAAAGACAGAGGAGGTGCACAAACATTACGGGAAAGTGAAAACAACTTACAGAAAAAAAAACCAAACAGAGCTGCCATAGTAACAAAATTCGTCTGGTTAGAAATCCAGCAACACTAGACTACTGGGAGGGAACTGTGGGAGCCGACCCAGTTTGAAAATCAGTCTCTCTAAAACAATGTTTTTGGGGAAAGATCTCTAAGATCACGCTAAATCGCTGGGAACAGATTTTTTACACATTGATCTGGAGCAGGTTAGCTTTGACAACACAAATAGTGACCTGTAAAGGACAACAGATTTCCTCCCTCAGTGTGAGATATTTACAGACAAACAAGGATGAACGTGTGATGATTCTGATTCCATTTTTAGCCCCATGTACCTGCGTTTGGCAGCAGAAGACTGTTTGAGGAGGATCTTCAGTGTTTGGCGCCTTTTTCCACAGCCAGAGAGTTTCTCTTCACACTTTGTCACTACACTGGTCAGAGTGTACAAGAGAAGAGGGGGAGGCAGTGGTGCCAAGCAATCCATCATACCGGACATGCACAAGGCCAACTTTATGGGGATTAGAGAGCCTCTGGTGTGATTGCATGTCTGCGTGCACATGTGTGTTGCCATGGCAGGACGTGCTGCTCCTTGATGCCCAACCACAAGTGAGCAAGTGTGTGCGTTTTTAGGGGCTTCTGTGTGTGCTAAAGTGCGCCGCGTGTGTTATTTTGTGTGCGATTAGGTGTTCAGGCAGATATTGAAGAATGCATGATGGGAAACTAGCCCGTATTTTTTAAGCAGCAGATGGTAAACAACCTCTGGGTTCAACGGGTTTGAAGCAGCTGGAAAAATTTGCGGAGAGAGAGCTCTGAGAGGCAGCAGAGCGCCTCTGCCCGAGACCCCAGCAAGAGAAGGCAAACTCCAACAAACTTTTTGTAACGGAACCAAACAAAAGTTATTTGGCTCTACAGTTAAACTTGGACTCCTTTCATAAAACATTAACTAACTCTCTGAAGGTCTGTTTGGTCAGTCTTCTGAATGTTAATGGTATGTAATTTGGACCCTGGCCAACAATAAAAGCAAAACATGAGCTTTACCTTAGGAGGACTGCCATTTTCCTCTGGAGGAGGGGGCAGAGAAAGTGTCTTGTTGTTGGCGGGTGGTGGCTCCACATGGTAGTCATTGTAGTTGCGGAAGCAGCAAAAGAAAGGGCTAAAAATGCTCCTACTTCGGTGCTTCTTTAGGCTGCTATTGGACTGGGAGACTGGAAGAGACAACCGCAGAGAGAAACAGCACTGTTAATCAGACACTACATATAGTTCATCTGGGACAACTGAGAAAGAATGAAGTATGTACTATGTAAGAACACCAGACAAACAGTCAGAACATAGTTTGATCAGTTTAGTCTAGAAACAATGAGGGATACATATTTTCTTATCATGTTTGTCTGTAAGAAGGATGTTCGTTTTCTGCAACACATACTGAACACTTTCCACAAAATTTTACTTGTGTCAGTCAACAGAATAAATGACCAAAGGACCTGGGGATTATCGCCTAGCTTCATTTGATGAATGTGAAAAGGAATTTGAATTATTTTTGGTCAGAAATGATTTTTCACCTTGGAATTGTCCATTTCTGCTTAGTCTCTTTCCAACTTTTGAACCATGAACTCTGATAATTCAGTGAATTCATGATTTAATTCAAAGTTGGAACTTATGTGGAGCCTTATTAATAAAATCTAATTTAAAAATGTTTTATATCTCTTTGTTTTTTGTGTGACATTAAAAATTTATTATGGAAAACATTAAAGTGTGACAAAAAAAGGCCATAAACAAGGGTAAACACTTGGGCTAACTGCAGTGTAAAACAAGCAGATGGTCAGTGATATTTCTATATGACGCAAACAGAACACCCTGCAGCCATTTGTGAGCTTTATTTGCTCAATAATTTACGCAAAGCATGGACGTTGTTTTAATAAATCTGATCACACAACATTAAAGCAGCTGCTCTTACTATCCATAAGCTTGTAAATTCTTCTTTTCTGAAAATTTTAGGATTATTTCATATCATTTTGGGAGACCAAAGCCTTTAACGTTTAAGTAAAATACACGCAGTTTGGTGAAAGCAACAATGGAGACGCAATAATCAAATCACGAATCTTCAAAGTCTCCAACACTGTCACATGGTTACTCACTGAAACTAGACACGGAGGCTGTTTCACGTTCATGACTGTATTATCATAACAATAGACCATGTCACTCGGTGTGGCTTCAGTACATGCAACAAGAATCACACAGACAGAAATAGCTGTTATCACAGAGCCTTCTGGGAGTTCAGTCATTAAGCTTGGGGAAAAAAATCAGAGAGATCTAATAATATTATGTATTAATAAAGTCATATTCAATCAATTTTAATATTATTTAATTTTTACTTATAGTTGATGAAACAAGACAAGCAAGCCTCATCGGAAATACTGTTCATATTTTAATTTACTTCATCTCCTCCACCTCTGTCTCCAAGGCCTGAGCAGAAACAGACTGGAAAGATCTGTGAACCTGTTCAAATTTGCTAGAAGAATAAATGTGTATCTGGGCAGGTCTAATGCAAATGTCATCTGTTTGGGAAATTGATAAGAGATATATTTCAGTTTGTACCACTCATTTGATTTTAGTGCACTTCCACTGGTATGTAGCCCAAAAATTTGAATTGAAGCAAAAAACTAAATGAGTAAAAAGGGAGCCGAGAGAAGAAAAGCAACTATTATGTAACCGACTCCTTTCATATTCAATACAACTGAGTAAATACAGATGGCCATACCAAATCAAATGGATTTGCAAAACTAACAACATAGCAAATATTTTTCAAATAACATTACTTTAAGGCACTGACTTACTTTTTTTTTTTTACAGCATGTCTTAAACAAAACAAATCCACAGTTTTAGTTTATAAATGGAAATGCACACCTATTTCAATTTAGTTTGTAAATATGTACTTTAAAAAAATTCTCCAATGATCACTGTCCTTATGTGTTATAACAGAAAGCATCTGCCCATCATTTGGCAATAATTCCTTTCTAGTATTGTGTCTCTGAAGGACAACTTATGCAAGACAGCGGCTGTAAAAGTCATTTTTAGAAATAAAAATCCTGCGGTAGGACTGTGGAGTGAGGACTGACTGAGTAAAGCAGGAGTCATTGCTGTGCCTTAAAGCTGCCATCACGCAGCATCCATGTTTGCTGCTGTCTTATTAATGGATCTGTGTGTCACACGCAGCACAGTTAGCTGTGCATGCTGTGGCTGCAGAACGATGCCTAAAACTGTCCTAAGGCTACTCCTACTGGATCTGACAGGCTGTCTGCAGTTCATTTTCTTTGTTCTCTCTGTCTTTGTAGTCCAAACTCATTCCGGCTCTTCTTCAATCCTCATTACAGTCCCAATCAAGTGGCACTTTGGTAGGCTAGCAATGATCAAATGAAGTTAAAATGACTTTTGTATAGAGAACAGAGCTTTAAGTGGATGAGGCATGAAATAAAGTCATAGGAATATAGACATGGGCAAGTCCAGACACTGCTTATGTTTACAGTCAAGAACATACGGTTTAACGTAAATTAAAAAATCTGGTCAATCAGGGAGGTTACATTTCAAGTACTCAGGACCAGATGTATTAGAGCTTCTGTGGATGATCTGTGATGTCCAGTTTTGTAAGTTTGGCAAAACACCAATGCTAACTTTGCAAACAAAAGCAAAATACTAGATTAAACTAAGGATCAGCCCTGATTCTAAAACTATGCTCTCAGTGTTTTGGTGTCATTGTTTGATTCTCTATTTTGGGACAACTTTCTCTCCCAGTTCTGTTGCCCAGACCAACCGCCTGAACAAAACAGGTGGGGGTGAAAAAAGGGGAAAAGAGCAACGAGGGAGGCAGAGAGGGGGACCGAAGGGTGCAAGATGGGAGGGGAGAATAACTGTGGTGAAGTAGCCTATACTTGGGTCTGATTCTTACTCCACCCCCCTCCCAAACCACCATCCTACGCAAACACAGCTCTCCTTTCTCCTAGGGACACAAACAACATAGCTGAGAGTTGACTGCTTCTGGCAACTGAGTCAAGGCACACAGATGCATGCATCGAGAAAATCATATGGACGGTCAACAAACCGCATACTACAAAGACTGATTTACGACAGAAATTTTTCTTTTAATGGCCAAAAATGTGTCTGAAGCTAGGTCTGCTTTCATGAGGTTTGAAAATAACTGAAAAGAGTTAAAAGGTTTCCATTTGCCATAAAGTGCAGAGGCATTGAACAGACGAACAACAAAAACGACTTTGAAACCAGTTCAAAGAAAATAACTAAAAAAAGAGTCATACATCTAGGAATAACTGTGTAGTTCATAGTTCTGTTGACAACAGGTATGGCTAGTAACACTGAAAGGCCATTGCATGAAAAGGCTTTTTATATCCGCAGATGTAGAGTTCTTTAGAGCAGGTGCGTATTATTTGCCCGCTGAGTGAACGTCATCACCCTCAATGCCTCCTCTCTTGATGTAAAAGCTGCGTAAAGTGCTTTAAGAGCCGGAGTGTGTATCAATGCTACTGCTGAAGATAAGGTAACAACAACAGAAAGCGCACTAGTGTGCAGGGCCCGGGCTTTCTGTCACATGTTCAGGCGCAGTCACTAACAAGGCCGGAAGAGGGAGAAAACGCAGGAAATTCTCAGCATTCCTGACAGGAAGAGATAATCACCCCATGACCCAGAGTGTGGAATATTGCCAGACTCCAAGAATAAGATCCGAAGCTTCACTCAAAGACATTAAAAGGTGGAATCCACTTGTCCTGGTTTAAATGCATGGAAATACAGATGGTAACTCACTCAACGGCTGACAGCTTTAGAAGCTTTTCTCAAAGCTGAACTCGATCTATAGCTACTGATTTTATCTGCCTTTTCCGCATTGTGTTTTGCTCTTCAACCTTACAACGCTTTGCATTTGAAAACATCCACTATGGCATTTATCATTAATCAGGGAATCATGGGGATTATTTATGACAAATTCACCATAAAATAACTGGATTCTCCATTAATAAATGCAAAAAAGGACAAACAAACACCTCTTAGTGGGAAGTTGGATGTTGTGAATCTTAAAAGTTGAAAAAACTGAGAAAGACGAATAAAATGATTGTTCAAAGACGACAACGCAAGCAAGATACTGAACAGACTTTTCTTCGCTGTGCAACACAAAGGCAAAGCAGCATTACATTTAGTGTGGACACAATCTTTTTTTGGTGGGATAATGAAAAACTCATTGAAAAGTGTTTAAGCCAAAATGTAATCTTGCAAAGTTTTAGCAGTTCTACTTTACTTTTACTCAGTTCTGGAGTACAAATGTTTTGAAAACGTAATGTTTTTTTCAATATTAAAAGTGATTATAACTACATTTTTTAATCTAGTTACTTTAAAATCATTTCCTGGCACTTATCTGAGATTAACAATATTTAAAACAACTTATTTTAGGTTTAAATAAATCAAATTAAATTAAACATTCCGACATTAAACATTTACTTCGACGGCAAATCATTCAAATCTATTGACAAATCAAAGTCTAACTTTTGATACTATAGAAAACCCTGACAAACAAAAATGACAAAAAGTGTTTACTGCAGGCAGATTTATTCTTGCTAAAACACACTGGCGTATATGTCAGACCTTGGGCAGTCCTCTAATACCCCTTAGATGATCATCCAGGTGAATAAAGACTACAGGTCCTCAGGGGGTATGAAGGTAAACATGAGAACTGTCTATGTGAACATGCATCTTTAATAATTCAAGTGGAAAACAGACTGGTTTTAAATGGCACAGCAAAGTTCTGCTTACAGTGAGATAAAACAAGCCAGAGGGATTTCTGTGCTGTCTCTCTGCTTAACTCACAAAACACCTTCAGATAATGAATTCAACAACCACAAAACCTAAAACGACATGATGAAACTCTGCCATCACCAAAGGCGGTGGGCGCGATTTCACAGGATATCTGGCGCCTCCCTCCTTTGCTCTGAAAGTGGAACCAGCTGTCTACATCTTACGTAAGAACGTCCAAGATAAAATACTTATTCGACAGCAACAACAGACCCAACACACTGCAAACACACACACATAGACGTACAGGTTGTTCACCGCTTGCTTTTTACCTTATCTAATGTAAAGGGCTGACAATGGAGACAGTGTGAGGAGATGAAGTTGTTTCCCTCTCTGGCTGCCATTACCCAAAAGAGGA